TATGTAGATTAACCAACAACCTTTGCACAAACTCTAAGATAAAATAAAGGGCAATCATATTTATTTTCTCACCATCTATTGAATAGCTTACATACAACCCATTGAAGTAGTTGTATGTGAGCTTGTTGGTTGATGACATGGACATTTTATCAACAAAACTAACATACAACTTATTAGAGATGCCGTAAGTACTCCATCACATTGCCCTAGCTAGAAGCCACTCTGTCCTGACTGATGGGATAGAAAAAAAATTGTTAGACCTATCGATGAGCTATGACTTAATTAGCTGATTAATTAAAGAGCGAGTGAGCATGGAAGCACCACAATAATTGACGCCTTGGAGGCAGCGAGTGAGATAAAGGTAGGATGGCAATTTAAAGGGAGTTTGCGGAATCAGTTGCGTTATATTTTGATGAAGTTAACGTTTTGCTTGCATTCATCCACAAAAATATGGCCATGTGCCTCCTTCTGCGAATAAAGGCAAGATTTTTTTTTTTTGATATTTCTAGTTTTTTAACATGAAAAATACTCATATTCCTACAATAAATTTTTACAGCTCTATTCTATATCAGTTGCAAAACCGACACGGATGTTTTTCACGTTCTTGGGATATAAATCTTTTTTTGCGAGAGAAATTTCCAATATATTCATCAATCATGGCAGTACAGAGAACACAAGAGGTAATAAAAATTACAACCAGGTCTATGGACCACCTAGCGACGACTACAAAGACTGGAGCGAGCCGAAGGCACGTCGCCGTCATCGCCCCTCCATCACCGGAGCCGGACAAACCTTGTTGTAGTAGACAGTCGGGAAGGCGTCGTGCTAAGGCCCCAAAGGACCAGCACACCAGAGCAGCAACCATCGCCAATGAAGAGAATTGTAGATCCGAAAGATCAAACCTGGAACCACGCAAACGAAGACGAATAAAAACTGGATCCAAATAGATCCACCGAAGACCGGCACCGACCGAATCCGATGGGATCCGACGAAGACATACCTCCACACATCCACCAACAACGCTATTCGCAACATCGAGACGGGGATAGGACGTGGGAGACATTATTGCTACCGAGGGACGTCGCCGCCGCCACATAGCCCTAACCAAGACGTTCAACCTAGCAAAAATAAGAACGGGGACCCTCCCGCTGGCGGGGGGGGCGAGATCCTCCACACCTCCACATGCCAAACGCCATTGGAGGCGGGGCGTATACGCGGCGGCACCGACGGGAGGAGGAAGGAGACGTTTTCGCTGGTGATTTTGCAACCGTTAAGATTTCATAAAATTCGAGAAATGTAATCTTGGAATGATATAAGAAATGACAACAACTATATTTTTTCTTAAAAGATGATCATTCGTGAATGTGGCTAAAGATATAAAAGGTAATGTATTCATCTTGTCTTGTAAGAACATGAAAATGATTATGGTAATTGGTATGTAATAACTTTTTAAATCCTTTTTTAGGTTCTCACTTTAAAGTACTTCGAACAGCTAACAAATTGAAGACCCAGGATGCGAGACCATACTCAAAATCAGGTACGGTTTAGGATTAAGAATGTTAGAGAATTCAACAGGTTCAAGTATAGTTGGTTCTATACATATTTTTCTTCTGACGAATTGTGTTCAATCCATGCATTATGCAACTACTAGCTAGGGGTTGCATGTATCTGCCACCACTCTCCCTTTAGTCTTTCTCAAGTTAAAAAAACGTATGGAACTCCAAAGATCCAGAATCATTACTCAACTATAAGAGTAAACTTAGCAGGAAAAAAAATGCGTATGTGGAATCTAACACTTGGGCAAGCTGATAAGATTCTGTCGGCTTGCATGAAAAAAACGCACTCATATGTCCCGCCTGCGGTAACGCACAGGATCATTGAAATGCCGCTCATGATCGAGAGCTTTGGCAAAGTCAGCTACAGCTTCATTAGCTAGTGGGGCTAGCTTATTTGGGGCTCATTTAAGGCGATAGTAGGTGTACAATGCATGTAATTGGTCAACCTAATATTCTACTGGGATGATTTCTAATCTTTTGATGCCACAGCTGAACTGTTCGAAGAAGCGGCAGAATATAGAAGGAACGAAACTGAAATGTTTTCCTCTTGGATCGATCTTTATCAAAGGAAAAAAGAAATAATGTCGGCACAATTAATTTTGGCATAACTAGAAGCATGGGCTATCATCTACTCCCTCCGTTCCAAATTACTCGTCACAGAAATGGATGTATCTAGAACTAAAATACATCTAGATACATCCATACCTGCGACAAGTAATTCGGAACAGATGGAGTAATTGTGAATTAGTTTTGCTAGTTTTTGCATGATTGGTACGGAGATCAAGTACTCTCCTCGTAGTTGTGCATCCAGAGTTAATCGCGGATATTTTTTCGAAAAGGGGGTTGATCCCCGGCCTCTACATAGAAGGATGCATACAGTCATATTATTAATAAGCAAAAGGTTTAACATAAGTCTTCAGGTCTTAAAAATGAAAGAAAAAAAGCTCACAAAGAGCTAACAAAATAGCAGGATAGCCACAATTGGCCGGCATAAAAAAGATAGGAAACACTAAATGCCTATTCTATTACATGACCGTCATCCAAACCGGTTTAAGATAGCCCGAGCTACCGTCTCCCATCGGATAGATCCAGTAACCATACGCTCCCTAGCCTCCGTCGGAGTGAGTAGCGGCCACATACGGATCAGTGATGTGGCTCGGAAAATAACCTGCAAGAAATGAATATTTGTTGTTCTGTTAAAAACCAAATCGTTTCTGCAGTTCCAGACTGCCCATAATAAAGCACATACTCCTACACGGATGTGTCTCACCATTTCGGAATCTATCCCGTCTAGCCACGTCCCAAATAACGTGTTGATAGTACTCGGAGGAGTAATGCTAAATGCTATGTGGACCGATCGCCACAAATATTTTGTCAAAGGGCAGTCAAGAAAAAGGTGTTTGATGGATTCACCACGATCACAGAAGCTACATGTTGTAGATCCTATTCAGTTGCGTTTTGCCAAATTATCCTTAGTTAATATGACTTGTTTATGGACAAACCACATAAACACTTTAATTTTCAAAGACACTTTGACTTTCCAAACATGTTTCAAACGAGGAATAGAGCTAGAGTCGATAACATCCAAATACATGGATTTAACCGAAAACTCTTCATTCTTAGTTAGTTTCCAGCGCAACTGATCGGGCTATTGAAATAGCTAAACATCCATCAATCTTCTCACAAGATGGAGCCAGACTTCTCAATGGTTTCCCGCTAGCGTCCCCCTAAATTGAATATTAAGAGGATTGGACTGTAATACTGTTGCAACGTAAGCGTCTCTTCACTGAACAATATTATAAAGAGAAGGATATTGGAGTGCAAGGGGCATCTCCCCTAGCCATGTATCTTCCCAGAATCTCGTGGTAGTACCATTTCCAACTACAAACCTTGTCCTGTTGAAAAAGACTGATTTTACTCTCATCAGTCCTTTCCAAAAAGGCGAGTCAGCCGGCCTCACCGTCACCTGGGATAAGGTTTTGGATTGAAGGTACTTGTTACGCAGAATCTGGGCCCATGTGGCATCCATCTCTACAGATAGCTTATACAGCCACTTGCTGAGAAGACATCTGTTCTTCACCTCTAAATTTTCAATGTCGAGGCCCCCTTGGTCTTTCGGCCTACAAATGATATCACATTTAGCGAGTCTGTACTTTCGTTTTAGTTCATCGCTCTGCCAGAAGAAGCGCGATCTATAGAAATCAAGCCTTTTTCGGACTTCAACTGGTACCTCAAAAAGGAACAAGAGAAACATAGGCATACTCGTGAGAGCCGAGTTAATGAGAATTAGTCGGCCTTCGTATGACATAAGCTTGCCCTTCCAGTAACTTAGTTTTTTCTCAAATCTATACTCAATGCACTTCCATTCTTTGTTAGAAAGCTTGCGATGGTGGATTGGTATCCCCAAGTATGTGAAGGGTAAGACCCCAATTCGCACCCGAACAATTGTTTCTATCATGTCACATAAATACAAATCTAGTTTCGACATTGGGCTTGAAATTGCCATGTGCTTTCGAAGAATTTGCCATAGAAAACGTTCACAATTACGAAGCCCCACAACGAACGTTCGCTCGCTATTGGGGTTCTATTTAATTAACTGTAGAAAGAATATGAACCTAAATTTTACAAAAAAACTTAGTATTAACAAAATGTTAAACCTCTCTCGCTCTACATCACTGCATCAGATCAAGTACATATACATAACCCAGCCTAGTTCCCTAGTAAAATAGTAAAAGGGTACAAATTGGCGAGAGTAAACAAGAGGATGTACGTTTGCATATGCCGGGTGCAGACGTTTGGTTTCTGGGTGTATATACACCCAGGAATTGGAAAAATATTTAGTACTCTCTCCGTAAATTAATATAAGAGCATTTAGATCATTAAAGCCCTTCGTAGACTAAATAAGAGCATTTAGATCACTACTTTAGTGATCTAAACACCCTTATATTACTTTACAGAGGGAGTAATTACAAAAAAAGTCAAAAAAGTTTAGAAACATTTTTGGAATAAACTTCACTTTCTTATACACGCGTATGTAATTTTTCACCGACCAAAACCCACCGTTGACTTCTGGGCAAAAAGAAACTAAAATTATTGGTATATACTCACACTATTGGGTACATGACACTATTCACACTATTTTGACCAATTTTTTTGTTTTTTTGCCCCGAAGTCAATGCAAGGTTTTGGTTGACGGAAAATTACATACTAGTGCTAAAGGAACTTAAGGTTATTAAAAATCTGAACTTTTTATTTTTATTTTTTTCTTCTAATTTCTGAGTGTATATATACCCAGGAAAGGGGTATTTCCCTGCATATGTCTCCTTATTTATCTTCGAACGAGGTGGTTCGTTGTTGATTAATCTCTACCATATCCTTATACGTTTGTCGCGGAGGCTGAGCCAAAGCAGTTTCTCCTTTCTAGCTAGACTAGTTCAGTTCAATTCAGTTGCCCCTCTGCGACGACAAGATGGCGTCCAGCGCCTCCTTCACCTGGGAGATCTCCGGCGCCATTCCCCCTTGCGCCGGCCAGAACTCGTCCGTCGCCAGCACCTTGACTTGCAGCTGCAGGAACTGGACGTAGCTGAATGCCTTCTCGAGCATGGTGACCATGTCGACCTTGGTGCCGTTGGGCACCAGCTCCTGCAGTGTCCGGAGCCGTTCGCTGATCTTCTCCCGCCGGTTCTGCAACACGGAATGGTACATTCACCGTTCAGATCCTCCGAAATCCCCAAGGTAACGCAATGAATTCGAGCAGTAGAAAGAAGTGCCGTTTCGGTACCGAATTTACCTTTGCGGTGAGGCTTTGCGGGTCTCCCTTGGGCGAGGTGGTGGTGGGCGCCGCCGGCTTCGCCTTGCTCGTCTTCCTGCTCGCACCGCACCGCTTCTTGGTGGCCCGCTGCTCCGCGTCCTGGTCCTGAACGCGCGCCGCGTACGATCGCTTCGATGAACAGCGCGCCTGCCCCGCGGCATCGGGCGAGCCGTTGGACGTGCTCGGGAACAGGAGCCCGAACGGCCGGCACGCGCCACCGGAGCTCTGCGTCAGGCTGAAGCAGCCTGTGGCCGGGTCGAACCCTATGGTAGACGCTGGCCCCGCGTGCTGGTCCTCGTCCATGGCGTCCATCCACGCCTCCTCCTCCGCGATAGCCTGGACCGCGTGGCCCCGCGCGGCGCGGTCGAACGCGAGCACGGACGCCCCCGCGCCCGCCCAGCTCGCGCTCTCCGGCGCGTAGGCGCTCTCGGCGCCGGCTGGCTCGTCGTGGGCGTACGCATAGCCCCCGAAATGCGCCGCCGCTTCCAGGCCTCCAAGCAGCACGTCGTGGCCACCGTAGCCGAGCGCGTCGAACACGGAGGCCTCGGCGTCGAAGCCGCCGTCGCACATCACCATCCGCTCCCGCACTAACGCCATGATCACGATCACGTAGCGCTACCTACCTAGTAGTTTCTGAACCAAGATAGTGTCTCACTATATAGGCTCCGTGCTGTGCTCCCACGGTGGTTGGCAAGCGGCGGCGAGTTGTGTGCTGCCTTCACGCCATGCGCCGGCTATATATATACATGCGGCGGCGCACCGGCCCGGGCCACGCCGGGCACATGGGTGGGCGGGCATAAAGAAGCCGGTACAACAAACAAAACACCGTGCGTGGAGAGGATTATACGAAGTACATCTGCATTAAATGCTGGAGCTAGATAGGTGATGGAGCTGCCGATCCTTGCCGTTCTCTGTCCCTCTTCCCTGTGCCAGGAGGCCCAAGAACAAATACCGGATCTCGGGCAATCGGGTTTGCCCACTCGGTGGAGCCGCAGAAGGAATGCATGAAGGAAGCGAGGTTGTGCGGATCCAGCTGAAATTGAAGAAGAGGCATGGCGACCCGTTTGGGTTGCGGGGAGGCAGGGAGCAGAAGGCGCGGCGGAGGCGACGGGCTCTCCCACGCGCTGCAGATCCCCGACCCCTCTCTTCTCATGTGACCGCATATGCTGATTTGCCTTGCCCTCTCTTTATTTGGCCATGCAACGCAAATGGGTTTTCTACATTTCCTACTCGTACAACGTACCAATGCTTATACTATCCTGCTTTACGCATTCTTTTCTTTCAAAGGACACGTAGAGCCACGAACCAACCTGTAGTTGGATAATTAAGAGAACAATGGTATTCTCAGCCCATCAGGATTCAAATCCTGATACTCATATTTATCCTGAATTTATTTCTGAAATTCCGACGATGCTTTTCAGTGAAAGAAGACGTTTTCATTGACTACGAGACACCTATATTGACTTCGTAAAATTGCAAGATAATATGTCAGCTCAGTCTCTCGGAGGTATTCATAAAAATAGGATGTGCATATATGCATTCATAGGGATGAGTGCATGCGCGTATGTATGAGCGCTTGCCTCTGTACTGTATTTCAAAAAAAGGAACACATAGAGCCTTTGCTAGTAGCTCCTTGAAGTGTGATGAAAAATATTGTAGAAGCAGTGCATCCGTGTCAATAAGATATTAACATTCATCTTATTTGCATTGCCCTCTCTTTATTGTGGCCATGCAAAGCAAATGAATTTATTACATACAATATACTAATGCCTTGATATCTTTCTAAGTTCATTCTTTTCTTTTAAGAACACGTAGAGCCTTTGCTAGTCCTTCGTTCTTTCAAGTGAGAAAAGATTGTGGAAGCGGTGCATCGGTGTCACGAAGCTATCAACAATCATCTTTTGCTTTTTTACATGCAATTTTTTTTAACCTTTTTGACCTTTTATTGATATTTTTCTTACACCGTTATCAAGTATAACTTGTCGTCAATAGATACGTGTCTAGTATTTAATCGAAAATGTATACTAATACATTTTCAATGTATCTATAATTTTTGCTTTTTTCATGATGTTACATTATTAATCTTGGATGTTTTATATTCATTTTATAGCAATTTTATATCATTTTTTAGACTAAACTATTGACATAGTGCCCAGTGTAACTTGCTGTTTTTTTGCTTATTTTTTACTTTGCAGAATATCCCTATCAAACGGAGTCCAAACGCAGCAAAAAAATTTGGAGATTTTTTTGAGCAGAAGACACCTTGGGAGCCAAGAAAGCACCTAGGAGGAGGCCGCGGGGACAACAAGACACCAGGACGTGCCAGGAGGCCCAGGTGCGTCCTGGTGGATTGTGGGGCCCACAGGGGTCTCCTGCATCGTCTCTTTACCCTATAAATTCCCAAATGTTTTAGAAACCCTAGGGGAGTCGACGAAACACAATTTTTTCGTCGACGCAAATTCTAGAACCACGAGATCCAATCTAGAGCCCTATTCCGGCACTCTGCCGGAGCGGAACACGTTCACAGAGGGGTTCATCATCCTCATTGGTCCCTCTTTGATGATGCGTGAGTAGTTCACCATAGACCTATGGGTCTGTAGGCAATAGCTAGATGACTTCTTCTCTCTTTTTGATTCTCAATACAATGGTGTCTTGGGATCTATTTGATGTAATGACTTTTTGCGATGTGTTTGTTGGGATCCGATGAAGTTTGAGTTTATGATCAGATTTTTATCCATGAATATTATTTGAGTCTTCTTTGATCTCTTATATGCATGATTATTTATAGCCTCATATTTCTTTTCCGAATCTTTGGTTTAGTTAGGCCAACTATTTTAATTTTTCTTGCGAAGGGAAGAGGTGCGGTGGGTTCGATCTTGCGGTGTCCTCTCCCACTGACAGAAGGGGCAGCGAGACACGCATGTATCGTTTCTATTAAGGATAACAAGATGGGGCATATTCCTACATGAATAGATCCTGTCCACATCATGTCATCGTTCTTATTGCATTACTCCGTTTCTCCTTAAACTTAATACACTAGATGCATGCTGGATAACAGTCGATGTGTGGAGTAATAGTAGTAGATGCAGGCAGGAGTTGGTCTACTAATCTTGGACGTGATGCCTATATATTGATCATCGCCTTGGATATCGTCATAATTATTTGTTCTTCTATCAGTTGCCCAACAGTAATTTGTTTACCCACCGTGTGTTATTTCTCGAGAGAAGCTAGTAATGAAATCTACCGGCCTCGGGCATATCTTTTATCATATTTGCTTTCTGATCTATCTTTTGCCATATTTATTTTCAGATCTATATTTCCAAAAACCCAAAAATACCTTGCAGCACTTTTTATTTATTTATTTATTTTACGTTTTATCGAGATCTATTTATCCAATCTACCACCAAACATTTTATCTTATTACCGAGGAGGGATTGACAACCCCTCTTACGCGTCGGGTTGCAAGTATTTATTCTTTGTGTGCAGTACCGTTTACATATATTGCTTGGTTCTCCTACTGGATTTATACCTTGGTTTCATAACTAAGGAAAATACCTACCATAGTTGTGCTGCATCATCCCTTCCTCTTTGGAGAAATACAGACGCATTGTCAAGCCGCTTCAAAAGGAATTTCTGACGACGTTGTTGGGGTGGATCAAGTCAAGGTTGTCTCCTGTCAACTTGCCAATCTTTGGCACCAGGGAGACATCATCAACATCTATCAGGTTCCTAATCACAAATTTCATCTCTTTGCAATTTACATTATTTGTCATTTACCTCTTGTTTTCATCTCCCCCATTTCACAAAAATTTGCCTTTTTATTCGCCCTCTTTTTCGTTCGCCGTTTTATCGCCAGATCTATCTTTTTGCTTGCTTTTTTTGGCATAGTTACAATGTCTCAAGAAAATACTAAATTGTGTGATTTTTCCAATACCAATAATAATGATTTTATTAGCACTCCGATTGCTCCTCCCGCCACTAGTACGGAATCTTGTGATATTAATGCCACTTTGTTGAATCTTGTTATGAAAGATCAATTTTTGTGTATTCCTAATGAGGATGCCGCGTCCCATCTAAACACATTCATAGAATTTTGTGATATGCAAAAGATGTGAACAATGATATTGTCAAGTTGAAATTGTTGGGGAGCGCAGTATTTCAAAAAAATTCCTACGATCACGCAAGATCTATCTAGGAGATGCATAGCAACGAGAGGGGAGAGTGTGTTTAAGTAACCTCGTAGACCGAAAGAGGAAGCGTTAAGAAACGCGGTTGATGTAGTCGAACGTCTTCGCGATCCAACCGATCAAGTACCGAACGCACGACACCTCCGCAATCTGCACACGTTCAGCTCGGTGACGTCCCTCGTACGCTTGATCCAGTTGAGGCCGAGGGAGAGTTTCGTCAGCAGGACAACGTGTTGACGGTGATGATGAAGTTACCGGCACAGGGCTTCGCCTAAGCACTAGGACGATATGACCAAGATGTGTATCCGTGGAGGGGGCCACCGCACACGGCTAAAACAATTGTCAATTTGTGTGTCTATGGGGTGCCCCCTCCCCCGTATATAAAGGAGGGGAGGATGGGGCCGGCTGGCCCTCATGGTGCGCCCCCAAGGGGGGATTCCTACTCCTACTAGGACTAGGTTTCCCCCCTTTCCTAGTCCTAATGGGAGGGGGAA